TCTATAGTCTAGTCTATAGTTGTCTAGTCTATAGTCTAGTCTATAGTCTAGTCTATAGTCTAGTCTATAGTCTAGTCTATAGTCTAGTCTATAGTCTAGTCTATAGTCTAGTCTATAGTCTAGTCTATAGTCTAGTCTATAGTCTAGTCTAGAGTAGTCTAGTCTAGTTTATAGTCTAGTCTGTAGTCTAGTCTATAGTCTAGTCTATAGTCTAGACTGTAGTCTAGGCTGTAGTCTAGTCTAGACTGTAGTCTAGTCTATAATCTAGTCTGTAGTCTAATCTATAGTCTACCCAAAACTGTAATCTATGCTCTAGTTTATAGTGTTGTTTATAATCTATTCTATAGTCTAAATAGAAAAATCCATTAATTTCTACTTTAAACTAAACCGTAAATATAATAGAGTTTTCCTGATTACTAAAAGTATTTCAAAAGAACTGTTACTGATTACTACAACACAGGGTTACTCTGGTAATTTAAACTACTAACAGTTTAAACGGGTAAAACACATAAAACGTTATGAAAACTAAATAAAATAAATATGAAACATTTGTTTTTAACATGTAACTGGTATATTTAGTTTATTATTGTTTATTTAATTTTTTGATTATTTTGTAATTAATTAAATCATTTAATATTTATGCATTTTGTATATGATTTTTGTTGTAATTATTGCTGTTTTTTTGCTATTTTCTTTTTGTATAAATTTTTATGAAGTGCAAGTTTTTGTTTTATTTTATTGTTTATATGTATGTATATTTATGTATTAAATATTTAATATAATATATTACATTATTATTGTTATTTAATATTATTTTAAATATTTATATTATTGCTAAATTAATAATTGAAACTATAAATTGACCGATGGAATTGTATTTTGTTAGTTTTCGTTTTTTTTATGCAAAACGTTTACTTAAAATAAAATTTGATTTGTTATAAGACTGTTTAGTTAAGTTTTAGTATATTATACTAAGTTTAAGAGAAGTTTAAAGTTTTATTGTAACAGAGGGAAGTTTAAATTCAATTTAACTGGAATGTTTTATTAGTCAGTTATTTATTTATTTGTTTATTGGTAGGTAGTTTCAAAAGTTTTTTCAAAACTTTAAAGATTGTTTTTATTTTTGTTATTATCAGAAAGACTTGAGTATAGAAGATTTAAGTTAAACAGAAATGCATTTTTAAATAAAATACATAATTTTTTTTTTTTGTAATATTAATAATAATATTAATGAGCAAAATTAAATAACTTAAAAGCTATTTTTGGGGGAGGAATTTAAAAATAAATTTTAAATTATTTTTTTCGGGTTTTTATATAGACAAAAAATATTTTAATTTTTGTAGATTTTTCCTTTAGTTTTAATAATTAATGAATTGTTTAACACATTAAATAAATTTTTGAATTAAATATAGTATTTTAAATATAGTTATTAATAATAAATTTATGTTTTTTAATAGTAATTATTGTTGCCAGTTTTTTTTTAAGAATAATTCATTCCTTCTTTTTGTTTTTGTTTGCTTATTTTCAAAAATATTTATAGACATAGAGAGTTTTTTGGTATTTTTTTTAAGATTTTTTTTTTTGTAAATATTAAATAGAAATTATAACAATTGAACATTTAATTTTTATAATTTTATTTTAAACATACACAATTTTAATTTATTTCTACTTAATTATATGAAAAAAATTTTTATAAAGAAATTTTATTTGAAATTAAAAGAAATTGACTCTTGATTTCTTTTGACTTTTATTAATTTTGAGAAAAAAATTGACTTGAAAGTTTAGTTTTATTAAAATGTTGTAAGTAAAAAAATACTTTAAAACATAATAAAATTGTAAACAATATTTTATACTCTTTATTTAAAATTATATTTTTAAAAACTTAGTAAAATTTTTTAAATATTAGCTTTTTAAACTAACTGACTGTAGTTTAAACTAAACAAATAGTTTATAGATTGGGTGATAGACTAGTCCACACATTAGTCAATCGACTTGTCAATGAACATACACTACTCCATAGACTAGTCAATAGACTAGTCCATAAATTGTTCATAAGCTCGTCAGCGTACTAGGCAGTAGAATAGTTACTAGACAAGGTGATGGACTAGACCACAGACTAGGCGATGGACTAGACCACAGACTAAGCGATATTCTAGTCCATAGACTAGGTTAATCTATTGAGTAGCCTATGGACTAGCGATAGACTGCACAAATTAGTCTATAGACTAGTCCATATATTAGTTATTAAACTAGGCGATAGACTAATCAATAGACTAGTCCATATAATAGTCAATAGTCTTGGCGATAGATTATTCAATATACATTAGCATACATTAGTTAAAAGACAAATTATACTAGTCTATGTACTAGTTAATAAACTAGTCGATTTACTAATCTACGGACCAGTAAATAGACTAGATAGGCTAGTCCATACATCAGACAATAGACTACTGCACAGGTTAGTACATAGACTAGTCAATACATTAGTCAACAGACTTGGCGATAGACTAGTCAATAGTCTGTTCCATGCATTATTTAAAAGATATAGACTAGTCTATTGAATAGTCTATGGCTTAGTTAATATACTAGTCGATTTACTACGGACCAGTCCAAAGACTAGTCCATAGACTAGTCAATAGACTAGCCTTTAGACTTGCCATTAGACTAGTTTACTGACAAGTTCATGGGTTCGCTTAGTCTATAAACTATAGACTAGACTAGTCTAGTTGAAAATATTCGATTTACAACTCAATAGACTAGGTGATGGACTGCACAGGTTAGCACATAGACTAGTCAATTAAACTAGGCGATAGACTAGTCCATACTTTAGTCAATAGACTAGGCATGTATTAGTCAAAAGACATAGACTAGACTGGTCTACGGACCAGTCAAAAGACTAGGCGATACGCTAGTCCATAGATTAGTCCATACATTAGTCAATATACTAAGCGAGATACTAGTCAACTAAGCGAGATACTAGTAATAGGCTATTAATATAAATGGACTAGGCGACTGACTAGTTAATAGACTAGGCGATAGACTAGTCCACAGACTAGGAGATGTAGAAGTCCATAGACTAAGTGATATACTAAATCATAGACTATGCTAGTCTATTGACTAATGCATATAATAGTTAATAAACTATTCGATGTACTAGTCTATAGACTAGGCGAAAGATTAGTCCATGGACTAATCCATAGAATAGTCCATAGACTAGACTAATCCGTAGAATAGTCCATAGACTAGTCCAAAGATTAGTCCACAGACTAGTACATAGACTAGTCCACAGACTAGTATATAGACTAGTCCATAGGCTAGTCCATAGACTTTTCAAATTGAGTTGTCTATTGACTAGTGCATACTTTAGTTAATAAACTATTCAATTAAAACTATAGACTAGACGATAGAATAGTCCATACATTAGTCAATAGTCATAGACTAGCGATATACTAGTCCATAGACTAGGTGATATTCTTTAAACCTATAAATATTAATTAGACATGAAATAAACCGATTAATTGAATATTAATTTGGGCTTGAGTTCGAGAAAATTTTTCCAAATTGTAAGCAGTTAACCACAGTTAGTTAAACTTAAATTAAACTAGATTTAAATAGTAATCCAGAGATATGGTAAAATTTTACTTTAAAATATTGCTTGAAAATTACTTTTAATTTTAAGAATTTTTGGAACAAATTTCTATTTATAAACTACTATTAACTTATAAATTTCTTTTTTATTGCAGATAATGTTTGATATCGGGTAAGTTTTTTAATAACATCTTTAATTAAAAAAAATTATCTTTTAAATATAGAGCATAAAATATTGTTTAAATTTTTTTGAAATAAAATAATTTAAAAAGATATTATTTATAACAATTTCAAAGGATGAGTTTTTTTCTTAGGTTTTTTAAAATTCTTTTTTTTATATATATAAATATAATATTTTTTATATTGTTAACAAAAAATTCGTTGCATTTTGTTTTAATTTTTATTTAATTGTTATGGGGGTTTTAATTGTGTTGTTGTGGTTGTATTTGTTGTTGCTTGTTTTTATTATTAATTTTTTGTTTGCTTTTTAAAAAGAAACCATTTTGCAGTGGTAAACAAAATTTATAATATTTCTTTTAAAGCAAATTATTAAAAAATCTATTAAAAAAAAAATGATTAAGCGTTTCCTATTAAAAAAAAACAAATTATTTTTAAAATTCTATAAAACTTTAAATATTTAATACTTTTTTTATGTAAAACGTTTAATTTTTAGCTAATTATTTGTTTTAAATAAAATTTTTAACCGATTTTTTTTTATTAATTTTTGTTATTAATAAATTTTTATTATTTTTTTTAAGGGTTTTTGGTTTTGTAATATAAATATTAAAGCTTATAATTTGTTTCTAAAGTGTTTAACTATTATTTTTTATAAATATTTTAATTACAAAACTTGTTAATGTATATATAATTTTTAAATAAATTTGAAAATAATTCTTTTTCACAATATTTAATTAAAATTTCAATTCTTTTTTAAATAATTAAAAGCATAAATTTAATAATAAATATTTATTTAAATTTCTGTTTGGTTTTTAAGGGAGGGGTGTTTTCTTTATTTTTTAATATAAATAATTTACCTAACTACCACATTATTTAGTAAATTTTTTATAATTTTTAACATTATTTTTTATTTTATTTTATTGTTGTACGGTGCGTTGTAAAAATGTAAAATATGCTACGATTTTTATTTTCATCAGTTTTTGTTTAATACTCTACTGGGGGGGAGGGGGATATTTTCCATGATTTTATTTATTAATGCTTTCTTGTGAATTGTTTTTTTTTAACTTTAAATGCAGGGTTAGTTGTGTTAAAATGTGTAATGGGGTTGTTTTTTTAATAATATTATTGAACATTTAACTTTTGGTTTAACTTTTTTGTTTATGCTTTTCATGGTGATTTTTTAAATTAAACAAATAATAGCTTATGTGCTTTTGTCTTTCAAAACTTAATTGTTAATTGTTTCACAAATAATTTTTATTCATTTTTTTTTTTTTAAATAAAATCTAATAATTTCCTTAAGCAATTTTAAAACACAGCTTCCAAATTGTTCCTACTTATTTCTCTTGCATTTATGAGTTTTTTTCCGTTTTTAAATAAAGTTTCTTCTTTTTTTTTTGAAATAATTGCAATACTTGTGGGATGCTCTGGTATACATTTTGTTATGTTGTTGCTATAGCAATCGTTTCCAATTTAATATTCACCTGGAAAAAATTTTAAAGAAAATTATTAATTTTAAAAATAATTTTAAATACAAAGTTGAAATGATCTCATAATTTAACACTTTGCTTAATTAGAACGTTATATAATGATCCACAAAGTTTCTGCACTACTTTACGTGATCATATATCTTGACGATCCTATCTAAGGTAGGTGTTTTTCAAACACAAAGTTCCTGGAGTACTTAACGTTTGAAATTATTACAACATTTATCTGTTTGCTCAATTGGAGCAATAGCTCTCCCTGGAGAGCTTTAAGTGATCATCTATCTTGATGACCTTTTAATCACAAAGTTCCTGGAATGCTTTACGTTCTAATTATGATGGAAAATTGCATTGATCACAGGATTTCTCTTTTTTCCTAATTCGAGCGTTGTACGATTCAAAAAGTTAATGGACAGCTTTTCATGATCACCTATCTTGACGACCTTATCAAACGATGGTATATTTAAATCAGAGGATTAGCTAGAAACGACTCACCACCGCCCTAATTTTTGATGGAAAATGTATGTAAATGATCTTACAATTTCGCTATTTTCTCAATAGGAGCGTGATTTGTAAGGATCCACAAAGTTACTAATAAGCTTTACGTCTATCATATATCTAGAAGACCTAATGTAACGGTGGTCTTTTGCACCCACTGAGCTGGAGATGGCTTACCCTCTCCTTATTTTTAATGGAAAATTGAAGTGATCTCACAATTTCGTTATTTTTTCAATTAGAGTGTGTTATCTAAGGATCAACAAAGTTCCTGGACTGCTTAACATAATCACCTATCTTGCAGACCTTGTACAACTGTGGTCTTTTTAACCATAGGAATAGCTGGAGACGACTTAACCGCGCCCTTAATTTTAATGAAAAAATGAAGTGATCTCATAATTTCACTATTTTTCAATTGGAGCGTGATATGTAAAGTTCCACAAAGTTCTTGGAATGCTTTACGTGATCAGCTATCTTGATGTTCTTTTTTAATCACAGAGTGAGATAGAAACTATTTAGCCAATTTTGATGAAAAATGAAGTGATCTTACAATCTCGCTGTTTGCTCAATTGGAGAGTAATTAAGCCTACAGAAAATTACTGGAGAGCTTTACGTGATCATCTATCTTGACGACCTTATCTCACAGAATTAGCTTTAAACGACTCACCACCGTCAATAAGTGACAAAGAACACGTAATTGCTTTTTTTAATCACGGCGATCTTACATTCGACATATTCACACCTGTCTCACCCGACGGCACAACCTTGTGATATCAACTCATTCCCAACATATTGACACTACTGTTACACCACCAAGGGGTTCTTTTGAATCGATAATATGAACTTCACCGATCATTAAAGTTTAAAACAACGTTCTTATGCCGTTATTATGGTTTTAATCACAAACGCCACGCCCCGAAAGGATCTCTACAATAACAAGACAAAGTCCACGACAATGCCCTGCGGGTAACTGGTTTCCGTGTTACCTGAGAGTTTAAGTTTTCTGATCAGACCTCGAGATTAAAGAGTACTAAACCTTATAGTCCCTAACTATGTGGTGATCGTAGCGTTATTAAAGGATCTAGAGCCTTTTATAAGTTTTTTAAGTAAAAATCCACTTTGGATAGAAAGTGATCCCGGAAGTTTGCGACTTTCGGAATTGGGACGTTATTTCAGTATCTACTGTTCATTTACGGTTTTCACCTTAACATCGATTTTTGGTTGGAAAATTAAAGTATAACAGAATATGAGTGATGTCAGATTTGCGATATTTTCTAAATTTCTACTTAGTCAGTGCCTTAGATGGGAATCGAACCCACTACATCCAGACTAATTAGTGTTCTAGTCGTTTAAAGTTTGACATAACAAGAAAAACTTTTTGTTTAAGAAATTATTAAATTTTTCTACTTACTTGGACACTCTGGTGGATTCATATAACCGAATACATTAAGTTCATACAATGAGGCTAAAGTTATAAATAGCAAATACCACACCATCAGTATGATGCCCAGGCGTTTATCCAATTTCCAGCCATTTAAATGGGTGGACAATATTAAAAATATGACCGTTGAGAATAGTGACAGTGTTGAGTAAGCCAAACCTTTAAAAGAGAGAGGGAAAGAGAGAGAGAGAAAAAGGTTATAATTAATATTTTTAGTTCACAACAATAAGTTTAAATAATAATAATTTAATAAACAACTACTTGATAGTAAAAAAACTAATACTACAAAAAATTCTAACTACAAAAATTTTGAATAATTAATAGAAAATATTTTTAAGATTCCCAGATATTAATGCCGATAAAAATTTTCTGAATGAGAAATTAGTTCTCAGTTGTCTCTTATGTATAGAACAGGCATCCGCAGAGAGTGAAATGTAATCTCTTTGACTAGTTTGGTTTTTAATACATATGTGAGCTTACGTAGGTGTGAGAGATAGAGGCAGGTTCTTTGTCTATATCTGCTGTAGGCAAATAATTTACATCATGAATCGGCAGAAATGTTTAAGTTTGATATCTGCCTACCTCTGCCTACCTATAGTAGTTCGAAACTATTTCTTTAAATATGAGAAATATTGAAGATTTTTTTGTGATCTTTTTTAATTCAATTTTAGTTTTTTGTTTATTTTTAATCAAAATTCAACAAAATTGAAAATAATATTTTATGCCAGAAAAAGAGCAAAGTCATTCCTGGAATTATTAAATATCATTAAACCCTGGCAGAACACGAATCTTTTTTACAACAATTTTGAAATATCTATTTAATAAAGATTTCCCAATTTTGAAATTAATTAATAAAACATATACAGTAAACATTTTAAAACTATAACAAATAAATTATTATATAGATTTTATCATGATTATATAGAATAACTTTAAAAATATATAAATTTCAAATATAAACGTGTACTTCTTTTTTGCAAGTGTATAGAAAACCAATTCTTAGTGTGGGTGTTATATTAGAAAGTGTAGAAATTTTGAAGACGATGTAACTGCTTTAATAACAACATTTTCCAGAAATTAAATATTTAAAATTGCTTTGCCAATTAGGGAAAAAAGGAAACTGCTATTAAAACAGTTAAGTGACAGTATAAAATATATCGTTAAATGTTAAATAACAGCCAGATACGAGAGTGGCAATATGTGTAAGTGTGAACAGCATAATTGCCATGTTAACAGTGCTAAAATGTAAACGCTTTATGTTAATATAACATAGCAGCAGCAGCTGTGCAAATCAATAACATGTTAAATTTTTAAATAACATTACTAGCTTATGTTACCTCAAAGAAATCACAATCATTGGAAATTAATTTAAAATAAATTTACCCTTTCCTTAATTAACACATAAAGACGTATTCATTTATGTTTATATTTAATCCTGAGCTGTCCTTAAGTCTTCCTTAAGAAACTTTTTAGTTGAAGATTAGAAACTTACCTTTCGAAATGACATTGACATGAGAGCCTGGCTTAATGATAGCTGTTTGTATGAACCACGGAAGACCTAAGCACACTAGGATATCAAAGACATTCGAGCCGATTGCATTTGAAACGGCCATATCGCCAAAACCCTCTTTGATAACGGCTATTGAGCTTAGGGCATCGGGAACGGAAACACCAGCAGCAACAAAGGTCAAGCCCATTACCGTGTCCGGTATGGCCAATGTTGAGCCAATGACAGTGATCATCCAAACCATGAAGTACGAATAGAATGAGATCCAGATCATGGAAATTAAAAATGTGAAGGGATACCAATTGCGATATTTTTCGGTGCGGCAGTCTGGCATGGTTTTCTGGCAGAGGAAATGTATGGGATAGACAACATACCAGGAGATCAGTGCTGGTAAACCTCCCGTTGTTGGACGTTCCAGAGGATTGGGTCGGGCTTCCTTCGATTTATCACTGGACTTGTAATATTCCACACCGGCTGGTTGTGGTTTACCCACCACAGGTTTTTGTGCATTGTCACCGGTAGGCGATTGTGTTACCACCGATTCGGGTTGATCGGGATTGTAGCCAATGTTCTCTTGTCCTTGACCTGCAGTATATTGGCTCATGCCCCAATCGTCTACAGCGGCCGGTTGAACGGAGGATCTAGCACTGACGCCCACGGGATCGGAGGTATCACCCCAAGCTGCATTGGGATCCCAACTGGAGTTGGGATCGGTATAATTTTGATATTCTTGTTGCTGCTGGTTTTCTGACGAGGATGCGGCGTTAGGCTCTTGTGACAAATTAGTCTGCTGTTGAGTGCCTTGTGTGTAATTGTTATCTTGTACATTTTTATAGGTCACTAGAGATGATTGTTCCTCTTTAGTTGGAAGTTTGAAGGGAAGATTCAAAGACAAAGCCCAGCGTTCGAGTTCAGTATTAAAGCATAAGGCGACACAGTAGACTACATAAAACAGCAGCATGACAACAGATTCAAACTAAAAAAAAATAACAACAGTTTTATTAAATTTCTTTAAAATCTCCTTTAAACTTAAACTTACACAAGAAATGACATCATTGAAAATGATGATCAACATGACCAAAATGGAAATGCAATAAAAAAAGCAATCTCGCACCAAAGGCCACCAGTTGAGTTGACACACCGTACCGGAACATAAAGCACAAACGGAAATGACAAACATGATATTGAAAACTGCTGAACCAATGACACCACTAATACCAATGTCATCTTTGGCAAAGAACACACCGATAACAACGGTAGCCAATTCAGGAGCTGAACTGCCGGCAGCCATAAATGTGGCACCAGCCACATCAGGAGACAATTTCAGTTCTAATTTAAGAAAACCACTCAATATTATATGAAATATATTAAAAGCAAATAAATAAACCAACCTTCACACAATCTATCTAAACTGGCCACGAAATACTCATCACACACTATGGCCAAACCGAAGAAGGTGAATATGGCCACCAGGACGTGTATGATGAGGCCACCATGTTGTCTCAGCCATTTGCTCATTAATGGCTGTGGAAATTGCTCTATGGCTGGGGGTGTACAATTATCACGTTTTGGACGCCAAGTAGGAACTGCTTCATGGGCCGTAGGAAGTGTAGCCTGGGTGGTTTCAACGTTTAACTAAATTGATTTGAAAAACAGAAATTTGTTTTTAACAATTCCCCAGTTAGTACTTATAATTAATTACCTCTGTTTCAACATTTAGCTCTGTTGATGTTTCTATTGATTTGTCAAACTCTTCACCATTTTCATTTTCCATGTTACCTACATCGAAAGGTTTCTCTGTTTTATCATCACTTTTGGCAGAGTAAACTGTGACACAATAGTATATCAGGAATAATATGCCCATATTCCAGAACCGTGATCTTCTTGTTCTTCTGCAGTTTGATCTGGAATTTATACAAAGTATTTTTTTAGGTTAAAAAGATGATTTAAATTAAAAAAGTAATTAGTTTAGTTTTATCCTAGTTCTGTTCTAGTTCTTCTAGTTCTGTTTCTAGTTCTGTTCTAGTTCTGTTCTAGTTCTGTTCTAGTTCTGTTCTAGTTCTGTTCTAGTTCTGTTCTAGTTCTGTTCTAGTTCTGTTCTAGTTCTGTTCTAGTTCAGTTCTAGTTCTGTTCTAGTTCTGTTCTAGTTCTGTTCTAGTTCTGTTCTAGTTCTGTTCTAGTTCTGTTTAGTTCTGTTCTAGTTCGTTCTAGTTCTAGTTCTGTTCTAGTTCTGTTCTAGTTCTGTTTCTAGTTTCTGTTCTAGTTCTGTTTCTAGTTCTGTTTCTAGTTCTGTTCTAGTTCTGTTCTAGTTCTGTTCTAGTTCTGTTCTAGTTCTGTTCTAGTTCTGTTCTAGTTCGAGTTCTGTTCTAGTTCTGTTCTAGTTCTGTTCTAGTTCTGTTCTAGTTTCTGTTCTAGTTCTGTTCTAGTTTGTTCTAGTTTCTGTTCTAGTTCTTGTTTCTACTTACTGTTCTAGTTCTGTTCTTAGTTACTTTGTGTTTTCTAGTTCTGTTCTACTTCTGTTCTAGTTCTGTTCTAGCTTCTGTTCTACTTTTGTTCTAGTTCTGTTTCTAGTTCTGTTCTAGCTTCTGTTCTACTTGTCTGTTCTAGGTTCTGTTTCTAGTTCTGTTCTAGTTCTGTTCTAGTTCTGTTCTAGTTCTGTTATAGTTCTGTTCAGTTCTGTTCTAGTTCTGTTCTAGTTCTGTTCTAGTTTCTGTTCTAGTTCTGTTCAGTTCTGTTCTAGTTCTGTTCTAGTTCTGTTCTAGTTCTGTTCTAGTTCTGTTCTAGCTGTTCTAGTTCTGTTCTAGTTCTGTTCTAGTTCTGTTCTAGTTCTGTTCTAGTTGATTCTACATTAGTCGTTCTTAATTTATCGCAAACCTTAATTTCGATATTAAAATTAAAATATTTAAAACATTTTACGACATAACAAGGCAACCAACTAATATTTACTATATTAATGAAAGCAAATCCAATCCATTCCAAGCCTTTTGTTTTCCCATACATACATACATCCATATATGTATGTATATATGTATATACATACATATAACTTAAGTCAAAAGTAAATACTCGAGTGTTCGTGCCTGTATTGTTGTAAATTTATTTTTAATCATTCTTTTCACTTAAGGAAACAAAATTGTTGTTCTTCTATTTGGTCCCCAAAGCAAAAAGCCACCCAAAACCGGAATTTGTCTTAAATGAGAAGAAGGAAAGGAAAACTATTGTTGTTGGCTGCTGTCGCTTTATTTTGTTGGTGTAGGGAATTAAGTGGGATTTAAGTTGGGTATGGATTTTGTAAAGAATAAAACTAAAACAACAAATTGTGTGATGAGCATAAATTCATGGTTACAATTTTAGCAACGAAATAACTAACGATATAACTATGGCGACGGTAATGTCTACGTTGACGTATCCACCGTAGAGAATGACTATGATGATTATGATGACGACGACGACAATGATGATGAGGATGAAGATGATGACATGCTCTGTTAGTCTGATTGGCGCCAAAAGCTGTTTGCCTTTTAGATTATATTGTTGCAAATTCATAAGTATATCATATACAAATATAATATACACTCATACAAACATACACATGTGTATTTATATGTACATATTCATACATATAGTATATGACACTCATTCATATAACAACACAACATATATTTTATATGTTGTTGTATTAAGGGAAATTAGACTTGACAGATTAACGAAAACAAATACACATATATGTATGTATATATATGTGTACATACATACATTTCCACACACAGATTCTTTTATATAAACACAGTTACATTCATAAAATACACATTTAATTTGGCTAAAATCAACAACGAAACACCATCACGTATGAGTAATATAACAGAAGAATATCAATAACCGTCAGTGATGAACAAACGGGTACTATTGTATAATTTTTGGTACCAATATATTTTTGAATAAACATACAAAAATCGAAAACTGGTTTAATATATAATATATTCAATAATATATATATGTAGTTCAGTTCTAGTTCAGTTCTAGTTCAGTTCTAGTTCAGTTCTAGTTCTGTTCTAGTTCAGTTCTAGTTCAGTTCTAGTTCAGTTCTAGTTCAGTTCTAGTTCAGTTTTAGTTCAGTTCTAGTTCAGTTCTAGTTCAGTTCTAGTTCAGTTCTAGTTCAGTTCTAGTTCAGTTCTAGTTCAGTTCTAGTTCAGTTCTAGTTCAGTTCTAGTTCAGTTCTAGTTCTAGTTCAGTTCTAGTTCAGTTCTAGTTCAGTTCTAGTTCAGTTCTAGTTCAGTTCTAGTTCAGTTCTAGTTCAGTTCTAGTTCAGTTCTAGTTCAGTTCTAGTTCAGTTCTAGTTCAGTTCTAGTTCAGTTCTAGTTCAGTTCTAGTTCAGTTCTAGTTCAGTTCTAGTTCAGTTCTAGTTCAGTTCTAGTTCAGTTCTAGTTCAGTTCTAGGTAAGTTCTAGTTTAGTTCCAATTTTATATTTTAAGGAAGTACTATTTTTCAAGGGATTTAGTACTATTTGAATAATATTACATCCCAAGCCTTAAATTAATGCGAAAAGAGTATGGGTAAAAGGGAGTTTTGACAGAAATTTAATCCAAAATTTTAATAAAATCTAGTGATTACTTAATCGTAGATATAAAGAAAATGTTGTTTGTTTCCAATTCCTCCTGCTGTAAGGGTACGGGGGTAGACAATTGTTTTGTGTATTTTCAAGATTTTGTTTTTTAAATGGCAATGTAATTACATTCCGTTTGTTAATGTCAAAGTTGAATATTAAATTAATTTGAATTCTATGGAATTGTTAAGTTGGGTGAAATTTTCTAGAGACTTTTTCTGGTTATATTTAATACAAATGAAAGTTATCTAGACATAACAAAGTTAAAATTTGATTAACTTCAATGAAGGATTTTGTTTGACATTAGCGGTTTATTAAATTGGCTTGAGGTTTTGTACATTGAATGAGAATTTATCGAAAAAACTTAATAATGATTAGGTTTTTAAAGTTGTTAATGAAAAAGTGAATAAAATTAGTTACAGACGAAAAATAAATAGTTAACTAATCAACTTTCACTTTTTATTGACATTCCTTATTTGCTAAACTTTATAGGATTTAAGCTAAATTTACAATATTTAATTTAGTTTTGTATCCTTTTCCAAATACTTTTGTTAAAAATGCTGTCTATGCTGACTTAAAAATCAATTAAATTTTATATCCTTTTCAACAAGGCAGGATATAATGTTTTTACATTAATATTCATACTCTTCCAAAAAAAAATATAATATCCTTTTCTTAAAGGAAATATTAAAAACCTGAATAAATAAATAGATGAATTCTTATAAACCAAATAATATCTTCAACCTCCTACTACACTCATCTGTTCTAGTTCATCCAATATGACATGAACAACCCACTAAAATGCCAAAAAACAGTTTATGATACATTTTTTGATTTAATCTGCAAAGAAAATCAATAATTCTTAAAAATTCTTAAACTCTTACGAAAAATTTAATAAAACTGAATTTATAAACAATACCATCTCATTGAGAAATAGCAGAAAACAACACTTTAGTTGAAAACTTCTTCATGGAAACTGTCTCAACCACTTTACAACTATTGCTAAAGTTGTTTTTGTATACAGAATGTATACAGAAAAATTCTACTTGTAGTTGCATTTGTTGTTTTTGGTACAGAATACCTACCGCCTCTTTGTTGCTCAATACTTATGTGGGGATGTTGGGTATATGATGACATGTTACAATTAGTCATAAACTACAGTTTGTTCGATAGTTAGAGGTAGAATATAAAATAAATGACAAATAAAAAAATATATACATACATATACATATGTATATAATATATAAACATTTAGTATAATTTCAAGTCCAGAGACGTTGGTCAACTAAAATTAATAGAATTTAAATGAAAATTTGAATTAGCATCGATTGTACCATTTCATTAGTTTAGGTCTAGTTCTGTTCTAGTTCTGTTCTAGTTCTGTTCTAGTTCTGTTCTAGTTCTGTTCTAGTTCTGTTCTAGTTCTGTTCTAGTTCTGTTCTAGTTTTGTTCTAGTTCTGTTCTAGTTCTGTTCTAGTTCTGTTCTAGTTCTGTTCTAGTTCCGTTCTAGTTCTGTTCTAGTTCTGTTCTAGTTCTGTTCTAGTTCTAGTTCTGTTCTAGTTCTGTTCTAGTTCTGTTCTAGTTCTGTTCTAGTTCTGTTCTAGTTCTGTTCTAGTTCTAGTTCTGTTCTAGTTCTGTTCTAGTTCTGTTCTAGTTCTGTTCTAGTTCTGTTCTAGTTCTGTTCTAGTTCTGTTCTAGTTCTGTTCTAGTTCTGTTCTAGTTCTGTTCTAGTTCTGTTCTAGTTCTGTTCTAGTTCTGTTCTAGTTCTGTTCTAGTTCTGTTCTAGTTCTGTTCTAGTTCTGTTCTAGTTCTGTTCTAGTTCTGTTCTAGTTCTGTTCTAGTTCTGTTCTAGTTCTGTTCTAGTTCTGTTCTAGTTCTGTTCTAGTTCTGTTCTAGTTCTGTTCTAGTTCTGTTCTAGTTCTGTTCTAGTTCTGTTCTAGTTCTGTTCTAGTTCTGTTCTAGTTCTGTTCTAGTTCTGTTCTAGTTCTGTTCTAGTTCTGTTCTAGTTCTGTTCTAGTTCTAGTTCTAGTTCTGTTCTAGTTCTAGTTCTGTTCTAGTTCTAGTTCTAGTTCTAGTTCTGTTCTAGTTCTGTTCTAGTTCTGTTCTAGTTCTGTTCTAGTTCTGTTCTAGTTCTGTTCTAGTTCTGTTCTAGTTCTGTTCTAGTTCTGTTCTAGTTCTGTTCTAGTTCTGTTCTAGTTCTGTTCTAGTTCTGTTCTAGTTCTGTTCTAGTTCTGTTCTAGTTCTGTTCTAGTTCTGTTCTAATTCTAGTTCGGTTCCATTCAGTTCAATTCGTATTACCCTGTAATTAAAAACAAACAGTTGTTGTCTTCCAATACTCTTTACTCTTCGCAACAAAATAGACCCCAAATGCAGGAAAATAAACTCAATATAAGAAAACCATAAAAAGCGAAATGCAAAAATCCATCATCGTGAGTGAAATGAAATTTGATACCAAATAAATACCTACAAATAACAGTTCCAAGTCAATAAACTTCAAGTATCAAAACCACAATTTGTTTTTACCTCAATGAGTATTTTTCCATAATTTTTTTCTGAATTCATTTGTTTTAACACAAAACTTGTACTTGTAACAATGAAAAACAATATAAGAATTTGCAAAAAAAACTAAAGTGATGGAATAAAACGCACTAAATGTTGACTAGATGGATGATGATGACTCCAACAAATGAACAAACAATTGAAATGGAAACCAACAAAATAATATTAAAAAAAAAACAACAACAACTGACAAATGCTGAACAATTGCAAGGATGACATCATATGACATCAACCAACAACTACTATTTAATAACTATCATTGTACTAGTTGTTGTTTTCATTTTTGTTTTCTTTTCTAACTGCACAACCATAGAAATCTAAAGTGCATGAGTTCTAAAATCATTAAAAGTGAATGATAATAAAGCATTTCCAAGTGAGAGCATAAACTTAATGTCGATATAAAAATGATGAGGATAATGAAGTTTGATGTAGAAAATAAAACAGCAACAAAAATAAAAAATGTGCGGTGATAACGATTGCACAATGTTTATAACAAAATCTCAAGCGTACACATACATACACTCCCCCATAGATATTCTCTCTTTTAGAAATTAATATACGAACACTTGTGCTCTATAAGTTTGTGTAAGTATGCAAAAATATACACCTCCTATTACTGCTTTTTTTTGCTCCATGGTGTGGATGGACAGTGTCGCCAGATGTGGGGATTTGTCCCCAAATTGGGGATTTCAAGTTTTATTTGGGGACAGATTTTCATGGGGAGGGATTTGGGGATTTTCGTAAAATTTGGGGATTTTTTTGTAATTTTCCGCTATTTTTGGGGATTTTTATTTTTTCTTAAAAATATTAACATTATTATTATTTCTAGTCTAGTTTTTATGGGTTTTCTAGGTTTAAACAATTTTAAAAGTAGCTTGGCAATTATATCACAAAAAAATTAGAATGGGTTCATAAGGAGATCGCAAGAAAATTTAATTTTAGTAAATTAATTCACATTATTTATTTTTTGTTTGAATTATTTTTTTTTCATCAATGAACAAAAGTATAAATTTTTAAATTTGTATAG